TGTTTGGTCAAGAGACTAGAATAATCATATTTATTGGAAACGCTTTCAGGTTTTGAAGAGGTTTTCAAGAATAATTGATTTTACGTCTTTGCTGGACCAACAGATAAGTGTAGTGAAACAAATACTACGGATGCATCACCACTATCTCTTCCTGCAGTACAATTTTCTTTCATTGATTACATTCAGCATTATCATTATTGTGCTTAATACGTTAGTTGTTCTTGAGTTAAAGTTAGAGCCAAATAAATTCTATTCTTAAGCCACGCTACTTAATTCATAAGCAAATTAAACGTGAACTCCATTTCACTATACCAGTGGGGGGAAAAGAGCAGTTTAAGGATGTTATGAAAAGTCATTAAATTGAAAACTACCACGAGGAGGAAAAGTTCCCTGTGGACCAAAGGTTTTGTGTTTCCAAAAATACTTCTATGACAGGCTAAATCATATCATTGTAAGTGTAATTTTTTTGTTGTTGTTTTTTTGAGACAGGGTCTCACTTTGTAGTTGACCTGGAACTCACTGTGTAGCCCAGGCTGGTCTTGAACTCACAGGGATCCTCCTGCTTCAGCCTCCCAGAATGATGGGAATACAGGCCTGCCCCATCACGCCGGGCTGTAAATGTAATGTTTTACAAGGCACCTGCAGAGGGTGCAGTGGAGAAGCCGACTCACTGTTGAGCTCTGCGACTGCTCGCATCAACCTGATGGAGCTACAAGATGAGGATAGGGTCTAAAGTATATTTATTACCAGCTTTCCTGGTTCTCCAGCTTGCAGATGACACATAATTGGACTTCTTGGTCTCTATAATAATCATATGAGCCAATTCCCACGACAAATACACTACCATCTTTTTATCTACCTGTCTATCCATCCGTCTTATTGATTCTGTTTCTTTGGAGAACCCCTAAAACAATCTCTTACGGAAGTACAGGATGCAGGAAAATTGAAGACCAAAACTCTGCCAGACCTTAATATTTTCACTAATATTCTCAATATCCTTGCACAGTCCTTCCTCTGCCTCTCCTTTCAGTACACCTTAGCACTCAACAAACTGGTCAGCTAACTGGTCTCGTTATGAGGAAATTTCCTATCCCTAGAAATGGTAACAATAGGGTCTCAAAAATGCAATTTACAAGCAGAAATTTATAGCAGGAAACATGAAAGGAATTGGGTCATGCACAAACCATGAGACATATCTGCCAGGGCCCTTTTCTTAAAAGGTTGGATCTAATTATACAGAGAGCCATAAAGGGGACTGAGTTAGTAGGGAGGACCCCCAGAATTTCACATTACCAAGAAGAGCGGGGAAGGGCTAGAGAAGACTTTGGTATTTCTCTAAATAGAAATAATCCCAGTTTGGCAGTGAGCTGCGTGTCCCTTTTCTTTCTCATCCTCTGGGTCTTGCTCCTTTTTGTGGTTTTTCATATTCGCCACGTCTGTCTCTGCTTCTTTTGTCCAAGTCCCCCTCTGACTAATTACATTTTAATGGACAAGTGAAGTACGAGATCTCCCACCCCCATTTCAGAGCAGGCATCTTTTTTCCTCCCTTTCATTGCAGGGCTGACACAATAAAAGATATTGAGCTTAAAATGATGTCAGGGTCTACTTTCATTGACCCCTAGTTTGTAGCACCGTTGTAGATTCATTCTTCCTCTCCTTGTTCCTTTATGGAGAGAAAGCAAATAACGTTACCAGGGCCGTGAGTTCTAGTTCCTGTCTCATCTCTGCACTCTCCAGAGGATGGAACCACGTAAGAGAAACAGTACAACCTTTGTGGTGCAAGTTGATCTGGGTGTAAATCCTGATGGTGCCATTTCTTGGCACAATGACCTTGGATAAGTGCATTGATATATTTAACTCCAGGACTGGGGATATAACTCAATGATAGGTACAGCACTTGTCTAGCATGCTCAAGGCCCTGGGTTCAATCCTCAACATCAGGAAAAACAAATAAACAACAACAAATATAAATATATATATGAAATAAAAGAGCTTCTTTACATGGGCTTACATGATAATCAGATGAAAGGATATATGTAAAGGTGCCAGCCATATAATATACATTTAGTAAGTATTAACTATAGAAAAAGAGACCCCCTCAATTCTTGTAAAAATGTTGATACTAACAGCAACATACGTCTAACTTTTAAGCTATAGCTGATTCGTGAGGACTGCATTGTGTCATCCCTCGTGGCATGTAGGATGAATAAAAGCACACCTTCCTGCTTATAATTCTGATCAAGAATTGGCTTCTCTTTTTCTCTTGGCAGATCACCAACCAAAATAGATGACGAATTAATAGAGCTGAACTGTTCTCTCTTCTCCAGTAACTGACGGAATCATTTCTCAGCCTATCCCCTCCCACTTCCCAGGCCGATTTTAGAGAAGGGAG